TGAATCTCTGTCTCTCATATTCGTTGATCCTCTCACGCTAGAAGTTATTGCGAGTGTCATAACGAAATTTAGAAAGCGTCATTTCACTCGTGCACGAACATTACAAATATAATAGCAAGTTGTTTCACGTTAAATGGATTAAACAATAATACTCAAACTGAAATATTAGTATTTGTTCCAATATGGAAGAAAGATCCTACTAGGGGTTCGTGATAAACTACTATCTAAATTTCTACACTCCATAGTTTCTTTTCATTCAACCCAGCGACGCAAAAATTCAAATTGTGAGAAATATTGATAAAAGATCTTATAATTTTTTAGACGCATTTTAAAAATTGTCTTTAGAACATCATTCACTCTTTCATGCGTTATCTAAATTGATTTTATCGCTACCAGTCGCTACATCGCGTCGGTATGACAGGTCTCATAACCTGATAGTCGTCAACTTTAACAGTTAATATCTCGCTTCGCGGGGCAGAGCGGGGCTTTTTTCTGCCAGATTCGTTCGTTTTGTGCAAAAACGCGTTGATTAAGCCTAAATTCAGCGAAATCGGTGAGGAGGGAGCTCTCCTTCAGATTTACCTTTTTTTTTTAATAAATGGTCACCTGATTTTACACCCCAATTATAAATTATTGCTATTAATTACATATTACATATTTTTCTTTTATAATTTATTAGTATAAAGACAACATGTATACAGATTTATGATTTATTCGAGATTTTTTAAAGAGAAACAAAAAAAAATTTTTTTTTAACACGAAAAAAGTGCATTAAAATTATTGTTAAGTGAGCTTTATTTTTTTCGATACTGGGGTAAATCACCCTCAGCGTCCGTTCCTGAGTTAATGTGTTCTCGCCAGCAAGCATTGTTGCTGTGGAGCTCGTTTGGTCTATTCACGCCAATCACGCCACCGTCTGTAGTTTGAATGATCGACCGCTTACGAGGCGCAAAATGATCAATGAACGACTGCGTTCAGAAAACACAGCGCGCGGCCGTGCCATTTTACTCACAACTTCGTAATTTAAATTGGTTGTAGCGATGAAGCTAATACGTGTATTTGTACATTTGTTTTTAAATGGATATTGTAATTTGGAGTTTTGTATACGGTCTCGTTAACAAATACTGATTAAATGGTTTTCTTTTGTTTTCTTTATTTCAAAGAACTCTTTCATTGTTTATACATTTAATTTAACATATTTACGAAAGTTGCTTATTTATATATTATAATGAAAAATTAACAACATACAGGATAACATTGAAATTATAGATAATTGTTGTAGACGCAAAGTTATTTAAAAAAAGAAAATTATTGAATATCTCTTTTAGTTGTAGAAACAAAATATTAAAAATAGATCTATTTTAGCGTGCAAGGTAGCCTACTAATAATGTTTACATTATATTATATAATACAGAAGATGGTTTTTCATATAATTAATTATCTAAACATATAATATCCCCTCTTATAAACTTTTTTCAAAAAATAAAATATAAGCTGTATAGATTAAATTTTCTACATAACAAAGTATAATAAGCTTTAAAGTATGTAGACCATTAAAAAAATTCATTTTTTCCTATATCTAACTCTTACAAAAGAAAAAAAAAACAAATAAACTTCTTAATCGATATAACATTTTAGAAATGTAGAAATAGATATCTTCAACATAATCTTAAAAAAAAAAATCTTGCGTACATAAAAGAATATATTACTGAAACAGTATTTCACTTCTACATCGCGATATGTCAGATGTTCTCTATAGCTCGCGACTTTATTTCAAACAAATTTTCCGGTAAATTTAAATTCAATTTTTATATAATGAGAATCTTGAATGAGCAGAAGACATTAATAATTTCCAAGATGACTGATGATTTAAAAAAAAATTTTTTTTTATATTTTGACTTTACGGAATAGACAACAAAATCATGTTCCTCAATTTTAAACAGTATATTTACTTCGATAAAATTTTAATTTTAGACCTCAGTCTTGCGAAAATATTTAATACTGAAAATTAGAATTTAATTTTTACTTAGGAAGAATTTCAATAGATCAGAGAACTTATTAATCTCCAAGATAGATAAAATTTTAGAGCTCTTGTCTGCCGTTATCCTTTAAAATCTCCAAAGGAGTATCTGTACCGCATAAATTGTTTTTGTTCATCATTCATTTGGTTAAACACTTTTCTTCGAAGTGATTTGGCTTATTACATCGGGAGCATACACGACCTTGTGCCGGACACATAGATATAGCGTGGTCCTTACCACATCTATGGCAATTCTTTACAACAGGGACTTGACACAACCACGAGAAATGGTTCACCTTGCCGCAATTTGTGCACAATTCGCCGAAAGCGAGGCAACGTGACTGAACGTGATGCGTTCCGCACTTGGTGCAGTTAGACACGTATTTTACCTTACAATTGTCTGTAAAGTGATTGTAACCTTTAAGCTGGTCACACACACTTTTTCGTAACAGTAACAGTAGGATTTCGACCAATCGCGTTGCTCGATTCGAAAACGTACGGCCGTACGTTCCCGAATTGAGTAACACGATTGGTCAAAATCCTACTGTTACTGTTACGAAAAAGTGTGTGTCCGGGGCCTTACAGTTGTTACATCGCTCCCCGTGAGCTAGACAACGATTTCTGCTGTGACAAGTACCACAGCGAGAGCATTTCATTTCGTCGAACTGCGAATTAAAAAGGGGCTGCCTTTGTACGTTCTCGCTATTCTTTTGCAACGTAAGCTGCTCGCACTGTTTCCAAAATAGCGTAATTTGATGAAGGTCCATCGATTGTAAATAACGTACTAGATTCTCTCCCTTGGACTGCACAAGAAGCATAGCTTTCCCCGTGAAATTGTAATTTTTAATATCCTCTATAATTTTCTCCTTCACAATGCTCACGGGATCACCGTGATTGCTTGCAATAGCAACAAGCTACAAGAGAAAAATGTTTATGTGAATTCACATTAATGTGAATTAAACGAGATGAAGGGAACAGTCGAGAAAAGAAAGATAATTTTTTTTACACTTTATATATACTCGATATGATGTACAAAAAATTATCATTTTTTTTGTTCTTAAATTTTTCCATTAATATACAGTCAATATCTTTATATTCTTTATTATAAATTTATAAGAAATTTATGAATAATTTATGAATTATAAGGTGATTGAAAACCATGAAGTTTTAGCAAATTCAAATTTCAAAGATGTAAATAGGAAAGTAAACATTATTTTTCAGTTTATTGATATTTTTATAGCAATTTTATAACTAAATTTAGTGCAAAATATATACAGAAAATTAATAATGCTGAAACTATTGTATTCATTCTAACATTATATTATAATCGTATTTTAACAATATTTTAATAATTGTAAAAAGTGATTTTAACGTACAATGTTACAATATTATTTCAGCTTACCATTAAGTTATCAACATATTTGTCGATATTCTCGCTATTCTGCTTTTTTTTAAGCCCAAAAATGAAGTGTATATCTAGCTCACGTAATACTGTTGCCAGATCTTTTGTCTGATGAGCATTTTGAGACAGATTCTTATATGCGGCCTCTCCAAGCGGCCCAATCAACATTAACAGTATAACTGTCCATTGATTCTTGTATAATTCTTTGGCATCTTCTTTCTGCAGAAAAGATAAAAATTTCTGTTTCCACGCGCACCAATTTCTACTGACGCTGTTCCCTGTGGCACTTAACGATGGAAAGTTGTCCATTTTGTTAAATATATCCAGTGCTCGAATTCCATTGTCTGCTATAAAAATAATAATGTCTGACATTATTCCACTGTCTGCTATAAAAATAATATAATATAGATATCGTCATGTTAGAATGCATTACTTACCCATATTTAATTCCTTTTTTTATTTTTATTTTTTTTGTTGGTATATATGTATCTTTCTTAACTTTGTAATATACTGGATGTCAGAATAAATTTGTATGCCATATGTAATTTCTTTACTTATAATGTGACTCTTATTTTCTTTTTACATTTATTATATTATACCTTTTAAAGATAGAACAAAATGTAGTTATTGTATATTATCAGCAATGGTCAATTGTAATCAAGTATTTAAGATCAGACAAGAGAAATTTTCTGTTGTAAGGAAAAGAGAAAATACGTAAATAGAATTAAGTTTTAAAATAAATATATAATTGTAATAAGGTAGCTTGTCTCTCGTTGCTATTTAAAAATTAAAAATACATACTGCAGATAATTCCGTAATTATATACATAAAGAAATGAAGAGCAGAAACTAATTCTATTTAAAGACTCAAATGCGATTAATACCTATTTTCTTTTATTGTTTGCACTAATTGTAAGAAATGTATACTTACGAAAATTACAACGTGATGAGTTCAGGCTACTCAAACTTCTGCACTCGGGAAAGAATCGCCACGTCACATTTTGCGTTCAACATTAAACGCGTATTACACTAATCGTACTTTACTATCGCACTTTGCACGTTAATATCAGAAGAGACGTAGCACTATAATGACAGCTGTTCTTTACTTTTAAATAAACCGATAAAATCAGTAGATACGCTACGATAGCTTCTTCGCGTTTTACATCAGCTTTCACGTTCTCTCCATGTCGGAGACGGAGGCAGTCGGAGGGAGACGTCGGCGTCGGATACTACAAAGACATAACAAAAGAACGTAGCTGCTCTTAGCCGTGCTGCTGCATTTCAAGCAGCGTTGCCAAGTTGATTAAAACAAGCATTTGTCAAACAGATCAGTCAAATCTCTAGTTTACACTTTTAGACATTTATAGCGTTTTTCACTGGTAGAGCTGGTGCGCATTCAGTGCACATTAAAGCCGTTGTACACAAACCAACGTAAAAAAAAGTGTATGTTTAATATAAACGGGTTAAATCATGGAATCCTCAATATTCTTTATTGCACTTATTTGGTAAAATATGTATTGGGTATTTTATCAGTCGAAATATTTGCATTTTAAATATTATACTTTAAATATTAGAGATTAAATCAGTGTACAACGGCTTTAATGTGCACTGATTGTGAGTGCGCACCAGTTCTGCCAGTGAAAAACGCTATTAGATACAAAAAAACTTAACATTGACACAGAATGTATATTTTGTAATCTCATGTATAGCGCATGCGTGTTTCTAGCATATAGTCTTCTTTACATAATTTTAAAATACTTTTTATTCTCATGATATTATCTCAATTATTACAATTTGTTGCAAATATTAAAAGATATTTATGTAATACATGAATAATATATCGCATGCTTAATTAATAATAGTAACTTGAATAGAAATCTGTTTCTGAACAAAAATCATCAGTTTTTCTATTTACATACATAAAAGACAGTTTAAAATTACTGTTTTTTTTTTTAATTGCAGTCGTTTTCTTCTAATAATTCCTTTTCTGGAAAATTCAGCTTCAGAATAAAATAAATGACAAAATCATATATCAATCAATTAATGTTAAGTAGATATTTTTAAACATTTATAAATAAAATTTTTATATTAATTGCAGACAATTGTTTTAGATTGAATAGATTAATAAATAATAACTTCTTTCGACGTTTTTGTCAAAAGACAAAATTGAAAAAAATATCGCATAATATTTTTTCTTACAGCTGTCCATACTGATTCATGTTATGATCTCTCTGACACATGAGACGATAAGATTAAAACTAATCGTATACGTTACTGTATATGCTGAATATGAAGAATGACAAATAATTAAAGTTCTTTTAAAGTGTCGCTATATTGTATTTTAATATATTTATAAGGTATTTTTCAGGCTTTAGGCATTTTCTTATGATTACAAATAGAAAAATGTAAGAAATTTTTAGTGTCAGAATTTGATTATCATAATCAGAAAATTTTCAAGACAGTTTTGACAAATATAAAAAAAATAAGTGCAATTGAATTAAACTACATAAAAGATGCGAAAATATTTTCATACGTTATCTCAGATGTAATTACGGCTTAATAGATTCGATATAATAGTTTTATGAAAAAAGGATTAAAAACATTAATCTGTTTTTTCGTCGCAAATCATCAATATAATCTCTTAAAAAACATTATTTAACTTAATATTATACTAATTTTATAAAAATTGAAATTTTTTAATTGCAAAAGTTAATACAATAAACAGGCAAGTAAAATAATGCGATAAATACAACAAATAGGCAGGTAAAATAATGCAATTGACTAAAATACAAATATTTCCTACACATTGTCATTATAACTTGTCAATTATCTTGTTTATTGTAATGTGAAGAAAAATGCCACAACGTGACGTGAAAAATGAAATCAATAGATTAGATTAGAATTAGAAGGATTTAATCAATAGAAAGATAATTAGGTTGCCGCGGTGGAAAGAACGTTATACACATATCAAATATATATATATACACGCAACTTTTACCTATAAATGATTTTTAAACTTACAAATTGTTTTTTTAAACAATAAATATTTATTTCCATGGTTATCGGAAAAGTACAAACGGCAAGAGATATATATATATTTTCGCGCAGTTGCAACATACATTTTTAAGTCGAAATAAAGTTTGAGCGGAATATTTATTTTTGTTGTAGAATTGGATGTTTTGCAATGTAAATTTTGTTGCGATGTAATTACTGCGTTATAATATTATTCACGATTTTATCGTGGAAGCTGAAAAATGAATCTGCGAGGGATCGAGTTAGCTCGTAATCGTGGAAATAGTCTTGCGACGAGGGCGTGGCTTATGCCAGCAATTATTTTAATGTGTTCTTCATTAATTAAGACACGTTATCGTCGGCAGAGATATTACACTAAAGGACAGAACCATCACGAACTCCATGAGTAGTTCTCTAATATAATTTAAAAAATTACCTTTCTAAAAAAAAGTAAAAAAGTCACCAAGTACACGCGCTAATACGGAAAACTGTTACATATTGAAAGAAATCTGGTGTATAAAACTGTTTTATTATATTCAATCAAAAATATAAAACAATTTATCCATAAAAAGAATGTTTAGTTCTATATGTTTAGTTAAACTAAACCTAATGTTTATTTTAGGTCACTAGACCAGCCGTCACCCTTGTCTCTTATACGTCTTATGTATATGGTAGACAATGTGCAAGTATCAACTCGATCCGAAAACAAGAAGACAAGGACGTAACTCTTATTTCTAATTGGCTATTCTAAATGTTCGCTATTGGTTATAAGCATCTGACACAAAATTGTTTATTCTTAACGCCTTAACGCGTTTTTCTCGCAATCTTAAAATTATTTAACACCGCGTTACGTCGCTGGAGCCGCAGACAAACTCGATCAGCGTCGATAAAAAAGTGCTCACCGATTCTTACACATACATACAGAGCGCCTGCTCTAGGGCTACCCGTTATACTGATTCGTATGTTTTTGGTTGAATTCGGGGAGACGCGTAACATATGCATATGAAATTTTCAAACACACTTTTCTCTTATACTAAAGCTCGCAGCTCATTTCTGCAAGCACAGGATTCTTCCTTATTGTATTTCCGTGACTGTTGCAAGGTTTTTGTATACGTACACAGTCTAAAACTTTTATGTGCAGCAAATGTTGTCATGAGTCGACCGCAGAATCGAAAATAAAACTGTAATTTTCTAATGTTTTTTCGTTTTTCATACGCAATTAGTGTCTGCAGTCTTTGTTATCGTCCATACTTTAATTCTGGACAAAAAATTTTTAATTCGGTAAAATCAATCAAAAGATTTGTGTGTCTGAAAATATCGCGGTAAAACAGACCTGTCTCCAGCATCCCCTTAAAGGCTGCGGTCCACTTGACGCTACAAATGCTTCGAAGCATTCCCCTTCTCTTTTCTTTCACTGAAGAAAGAAGGAGAAGAAGAACGCTCCTAAGCATTTGTAGCGTCAAGTGGACCGCAGCCAAAGATACATATTTTATTTATTTACACATCCTGAAAGTCGGCGAATGTTTTTGTTGGTCGATATTCTGATCTTATCTTTAGGGAGAGGTAATAAATAAGGTTTTGTTCCTAATTCTCAATACTATATCCCTTATTTTAGAGATAAAGCTTTAAATGTGTAAAGTCTCCTTACGCAAGAGAAAACCACCATGTCCAACTACATTAAAATCCAACGAGAAACTAAAGACAAGAACATAATAAAGGATCTTTTTAGGCATGGCACGCACACAGAAAGTTTCAGACTGTAAATCCATCAATCTCTGATACACATGGATAATAAGAATGACGCCAATACACTGAAAGTTTGAAAATTTATAACTGAGGGAGTTATTCATTATTAAAGATTCAGGCACAAAAAAAATGTTTCAAAAAATTCTCCAGGTTAGCTACAGTAATATACAATAAAAAATGGGATTCTATTTTAAATTCTGAAGTTAATCGTGACGTACGTAGCTTTTCAAAATCATTTGCGAGATCAAATAACTTCCATTAAATAATCAAGAGACAGTTAATAAATCAAGAGGCACGGCAGTGACTTGCGCCAAGTGCACGCGCAACAGTGTGGCAAATCGTGTATCTATACGCGAGTCGACGAGAAAGATTATCAAATCACAATAACGACTGACCCGATCAAGTTTTGAGCAGGTTCAATCGATTGCTTGGGTTTAAATTATATAATTAAAGTGTTTTCATTTTTCATCTACAAGCGAGGATATTACGATGCAAAGCTGGCAATGTAAATTTTTACATTAAGATACGCCATTATCATCGTTCTTCAGAAAATGTTGCCCTTTTCATTTTTTCGACACAATGCGGTGCAAATGGTTTCTCGCTAACGAGAACTATACTAACGATAGCCATGTCTCTTAATATTCGTATTTGACTTTGCAATATTATTTATAGTGCTGCTTTTATGTTTACAGGCTCGCGAACGTAATTCAGTTATTAAAATTGTATTATGATTACTAATTTTACACGATGCAAGCAAAGTTGCCGTGGCTCATTATGAAATTACTTAATGTTAATTGCGTTTTACACCGTAGAATCATATGTCTTGTTGTAGGTTTTTAAATTAGTTGTTTATAAATTCTCACTGGCTGTTAAAGAACTAATTTTTTCTCATATAATCGAAATATCTATAATTGTCGACTTAAGTTTCTTAAACTTTAATTAAGTATTAAAAATAAATAATTTAAATGTAAATAATTTTAAAAAATACATTGCATTCTCTTAAATCCTTGTTCTCGAGAAACAGAAAGAAGCATTCTCTCGTTATATTATAATATAATGAAATAATTAATATTAATATATAGTTTCATTCTATATATTATTATACAGTTGTATGATTTTTAAAAATTAGAACGGGTTTTTTTTATATATAAATACATAGTTTTATTCTCAAACATTTTTTTCTGCAATAAAATCTCTTGACGCTTCTCTACAAATCATATAGTTGCCATATTGCACGAGAGATGCGGCCCAGCTGCTACCCGAAGTGAAACTCTTCATTAATGTCGTAGCCCATCCTTGTCACAGATTAGCCGCTATTTGCCACTTCAAACGAAATATGAATTTCCCGAAGTCACTGGGCTCTCTCCTCTCGACCGGCCCTGGCCTCGCGGGTCGATAAAGCCTCTCACTCTCTCCCGCTTCCACATCGCGCATCCTCGACGAGGGACGAGGCGGACGAGGAACGGCCGGAGTAGGACAGAAAACCGCCGAGTTCTGTCAGTGGCCTCTCGGACACGGAAGCATCGAAAGTGGCGAACGTCTGCGGCGAAACGTTCCTCCTCGCCTCGACGTCCCGAGGCTCTGCCGCGCGCACGGGAATCCGCACGGTAATTTAGTTTGCGGGCGTTTAATGTGCGCGGAAAATGCGACGATAGTGATAACGCATCCTGTTCCAAGCCACGCTTGACGTGTACCGTCGACGTACCATCGACGTACCGTGACGCGTTCGTGTACGTTCACGTGTCGACATCGCGAACACGTCCAAACTGAACCGTTCGATCGGTTCTTTTTCTCTCAAACGCGCCTCTCTTCCTCTACGAGAAAGACGGAGTTACTCTCGTTTCGACTTATCGCGGACCTACTGATGTACCGTTCCTCCCAGCATCCCCGAAAGACACCCGGGAAAACGTTCGGCGTGCGACACCCTTATAGCACGGCATGACGGAACACGCGAGGTGTCATCTTTGCCAAAGTTAATGAGAGAATGGCGAGGAATATACATACTTTTTTCAATAATGTTAGTCAATTTTCTTGTCCCTCCGTCTTGGACTCTTTATCTTCTTCAGTACTCGACGCTTGACGATAGCCGGAGTTAGCTTGATGAGCAAGGGTTCTTTGAAAAAATAACGTTTAACGGATAATGGGATGTGGACATCGACATTGCGCGTTGACGCGGTTCTCCTTACAAGCTTCTTTTACACTGCTTGTTTTACACAAGAATATCTCAAGTTTCCCGCAATTTCTTTCATCTCTTTGATCAATCCTGTAGTCATCTTTTCTTTAATACTTAAGCATTGGCGAGTTGGTATTGATGTCAGTTCACGTTAAATTTTCAAAAAGAAAAAAGATATTGGAATATTCATTGTTCTAGAATTACAAGCAATTAAAAAGAAAAAAGTCCGTTTCTCTTTAAATATTAAGAAGTGGAAATAACCAAAGAAACCTTATTTTTAATCTAGACAAGCGAGAACTGAATGGAATTAGCAAAAATTTAATTAAATGTCACCAATTTCCATAAGTCTTAAATCTCTTTGTGCACATATTAAAATATATCATTCATTAAAATATTTAAATAATATTAAATAAAATCCTTTCTTCAAATTACTTTTTTTTATATTAGAAGAAAATAAATTCTAGAAAAAAATTTATTTTAAACACCTGTGTTTCAAAAGGTACTGATTGGCCGACATTCTTAGTAAAAAATGTCGTGATCTAAGAGTTCGTGAATGAAAGCACGCTAAAAAAACTGCTATAAATAATTCCAAAAGATTTTCATACTTTGGCCAACAACTTGAGCGAGTCATTAAAAAGGAATTAATTGAGAATGTATCGCGTGACACTCCTCAGTGCAACTGCTGGCAAAATGCAATTTTATACAACTTTACCGTATCCTCGGTCTATATCACATGCTAGCGAACCATTTGGTCGCTTTTTGCCTCACAGAAAAACAGTAATAGGCAGTAGATCAGGATGGGACCAAAAAAAAAAAAAAATTGCCAGAAAATCCGTATTATACTCACTCTCTATACTGTCAAATACGGATGTTTAATTCTCATGACATTGACTGCGATTCTCACAGCGACCGAACAAAGCTCAAACTCAGACGGCCGTATCTGGCATTAAATGTGGAATATAAATGCGGGCTGTGTGTAAAATCGAGTAGAACATATGCCCGCGAAAATGGAGGCATTCGTCTTTTCGTTAGCTCTTAAGCATCGGTTTGGGATATTGGTGATATCTCACGTGAAATATTTACAAAATTTAGTTCAATCTTTCATAAAGTGAAGTAAAATATTTTCATACGGTTTAATTTTATTTTCGTAGCAAAAATTATTGCAAGATATTAATGAATATTAATGTAGAAATAGTGGAACAGATGTGTCATATTTTTTATACATATGGTCTTTGTTATTCATATAGTATGATATGGGCAATACTAAAATCTCGAATATATATTCTATACCAAAGTCACGAGATTACGCACCAATGCTTAAAGATTAAAATAAAAAGAAATATGTGTATGTGTGTAATTAGTTCTGGTTAATGTATCACGTCTATTTCTTTTAATTTCGAAGTCTAAGCGTTTACACGCGAATATCCCCGTTTATATTGCCGGTCGCTTTAGCTATCATTAACAAGGAGCAATAATTAACATAAAAAGTTCAAAGATGCAAAGGTTTGCAGAAGTTTTTTCAATCAGACGCGCTATCGATCCCGGCCGCTCCAAGATTCGTTCGCGCGTCTCAGCTTGCACTCGTTCACCTCGTAAGGGAACTTATTAAATCCATAACGGACAAACGAGGGAAAAGTTGAATCTGAAATAAAAATATTGCACACCGGACGAACGCGAATATCATTGCACTGATTGTGAGACGTAACTGATAGCGTTGAAACGAGGTTGTGGGTTTATCGTCTGCGTAAAGTCCGCCACAAGTTTCCGCGAGTAATTAACGCCGCTGAAATAACTTGTTCCAGAGTACTTGCAACGAAGATGATCTAAGAAATTAGAATTAGAGAGCTTATTTAGGAAATGACGGTCGAAATCGCGGCGAAACAGAGGAAGAAGCTGGTCGCTGGCGCGAAAACACGTCGATAGTGTAAAATAATCTTGTTTTCGTGCGAGACATTGTTTTTCGAGAAAATTGATTTTAAGGACTCGAAAGTTAATAATACCTTCTATCTTTTTAAAAAATCTCCAATAATCTTATGCAATACATTGTGTTGCGCTGATGGATAATATGAAAAATAAAAACAGAATAAACCATTGTTCTCTCTGAACAAAAAATTGTTTCATCATATATTGTTGAAAAAGAATCTGAGAAGGAGACATCTGAAAAGGAATTTATTTTATTTCGAACGAGACTAGACTGGCGAAAAATAGACTTATATATGAATATTGAGAAAGAAGTTCCAGCCTTGAATTAAGAATGTATTTTTTGTAACCTAGCTTATGCACTTTGACGTTCAAAAAAGACCTTCTAAATGTCAAAAAAAAAACGTGATATAAAGATCACTTATCAATTTTATTTTTAGATAAATCTAGCCGTTACCGAAAATATTGCAAACTCTTGAAATTATAATATGTTTTTTACCAAAACTTTATTCAGATGTATTTTTATTATTGAGCGGGGCTAAAATTATATGATCAGATTAGATGACACAAATGCAATTTATAGAAGCGACTGATGTTATCAAACTATTGAAATATACATTGATAAAGTTGCGGCGTTCGTATTTTCAATGTAGTTATTGATGAAGACTTTTAAAACTTGATCAAAAACAATTTCGTAATTGAGATTGATATATAGAGAACAATTTAATCGAGACATACAAAGGAAATACGACAAAAAATATTCACGCAAAATAGATTGAGTTTCAACTCAATTTCCGAATGGTTAAATTTATTCAGTTGATTGCGTTTAAGTTTTCAAAAGTTTATCAAGTTTGAAGAAACTAAAGTACTGCTTTTCAGTAGTAATGCTTCAGTAGCACTGCACAATAAATTTATGTTTACTCAAATTTAGCAATTAATGGTACAAAAAGTAAGATATAATATACATGTTTCGTTCTTTAAAATGTTGTATTTTACGACTTTATATCCTATAATTTAAATTGCAAATATTTACTTATAACTCTATAATGGGAGTTTAGTCTTCTGATTCGGTTTTAAATATTTCGAATATGTAGTAAAATACATTCTTTTTTACTTTCTTATATACGCATTTGCGCATAAATTTCTCCGAGTTTTTACTCTGCATTATGAAATTAAGGAGTTCTATATCGTATATAATGTATAAATAACGTGCAATTACGCGTGGATAAGCGTAGTGAGTAATGCGTGCTGGCGATCAATGTAATTAAATCGGCGCGACAGTATGGCGTGTTTTCTATCGATGGTGTGTTGTATATCGATCGATGTGTTTCAGCTCTCTAACGAATTTTTATGGCTTTACGTCGCTACCTCTGGAAAATCCTCAGAATAATTTATAGGTTTAGATAGAAACGGATACGCTTTACGATTCGTGATATTTCGAACAATGTGTTACGTTGCATTATTTAGAGTTTTACATTGACATTCGGGAGCAACGCATATAACACGTTCTAACTTTGCTAATTTAACTTTAAGCGGATTACATTCGCGCGGTGAAGTTATAGAAGTGGCATAAATTTCTTCAAAGTGTACCGTGCTATCTTTCCTTATTTATTTAGTAACATGAAGTTCACGACAAGTACATTGTAAGCAACGTAAGCTATATCCAATCGTTTAACCAAGTCGCGTACTACGAATTTCATAGACAATTTATTTAATTAATTTGCAATCTTAATTTTAACAATACTCTTTTGATGAATCGGCAATTGTTTCTTCTTTAACGAAAACATCAAGATGTTTGTATTGTTTAAGTTTTAAGTGATCCAAAGGGAAAAGTTTTCTTTGTGAAACTCAATTTCTGAAGACTAAATACAACAAACTCCTACAGCTTGCAGTTAATTTCAAATTGACTTTATTTTAATAGAATTTCCAACTCGTGCCGTGGTTTGATTATGAAGAGATATTAATAGAAACTGGAAAGCGTCGTGCGATAAATAATGATTTTCCTTGATATTTTTGCTAAAACAAATTTAATTGTTTTGGAAAATCTGTTGTTAAATATTAAAATTAACAGGAAGTTGTGAGCTAAGCTGCTCCTTTATTATGTTATCGCTTCTAACTTTGACGACAAATTTCCATGTTATACGTGGAATTTAGTATAATATACACGTAGATATATACAAGAGAGTGTATAATATCCTTCGTCATATTATCATTTGTTTAAAAGTTAGCCAAGTTTCCTCAAAATTTGCTCAAATGCGCTAATTGGATTCTACGCCGAATATATCGCCTGAAATCCCGTACCGACGTAATTGTCAACGTTTCGAGTTTAATAATAATCGCAAATTACCACTGCGTAAGCCGGAGACAAACAACACAGCAGTTTCCATTACAATTCTGGATTTAACAGTGACATATTTGGTTAATAACAGGCGACGTTCGTTTATGAATAACAATTTGGAGATAATTATGATTAGAAGTAATAAATGCACTATTGCATAAAACGCAATCAAAACAAAATTTAATCTTTTATAATTACATTATAAAAAGATGTAATTATATAGGCGCAATTATATTTTTTGTCTTTTGTTTAATAAAATATATTTTCTATACAGAATATTTTATATCTTATACATAACATCGTTGAAGATTATATAAATTTAAAGAAAGGCATATGTTTAATCTTGCAATTTTCTAAATTTCTTTCCGCAACTAAGTTTTATATAAAACAATTTTATTCTACAATTTCCATTAACTTTTGTAGAATGAACTTTTTAGTTTTACCACTAGCTACGAAACACTTTGTATTTTGCCTAGTTAGTTATTCGTCCCTTTTAATGACCCTTTTAATTTAGCGCTCACACGCCACACTCATAAAACAGGGAACGTCTTCCATTTTCTTGACAATATAACCACAATTAACATTAGAGCTCTTTAATACCTAAATGGTGCTCTAAATTATGGGGCAACCGAAAGGGAAAAAGTCTCTTGGGAATCCGACTTTTAGCTTCGTATTGAAATACGAGCTATATAGCTATACAGCCGATCAATATTTACAAGAAGAAAAGGAAAAACTGATTATGATGCTACAGAAGTCATTGACATCGCCGGGAGTCACGTGGACACTACGAAGTCGGAATATGTGCCGGTCAGTCGACGCTGTTGGGTCTCATTAATCCATCGGCGGAAACATGCTATCGGAATGCGGCGGGCTGGTGCACTTCAAGAAGAGACTAAAGCCTTGCACGCAAAGGTCTCGAGAACTAATTCGCGTTTTTGGAGGATAAGATGAGCAAAAGTGTGGAGTTACTCGCTGGATCGGAGGACAGTGAGCCAACACCTACGAGTGAGTAATGTTATAATATTACGATATGCATTGTGTGTTAAACGGACCTCGTTTTTTATAAGAATAATTAATTGACTGGGATAATACCTGGGAAGGGTATGGCAATCGTTTCATTTTTTTAAATCTAAAAAACAAGAATTATTGGATCTTCCAAATAATTTAAAAAATCTTTTAAAAATTAAGAGCAAAATATATATAAAACAGAAAGCATTACACATTAAGTGCAATGAAGAACGATTTGCGATGTAATGTTCTAAGAGCATGATAAAAGTTGGACACGGCAAATTCCCCTACATTTTTATTTTTTCTATATAATTTGAATAATTTATTTAGCGATAGCCAAATATTTCTTACTTAATTTAATTCTAAGAACGTAATAAGAACTGGACATAAATTCCCTCTATTTTTATTTTTTTTTTTATACATATAATTGGAATAATTTATTTAGCGATAGCCAAACATTTTTTACTATCTAGAATGAACAGTACAATCCTACGAATAAAAATTGTAATGTAACAACAGTTTTTTCAATGTTCGATAAGATGATTCGGATTCCTCCTATTTCTGGGACGCGTCGACAAATGTAATATTCCAACTAGATGATCGGAATACCAGATGTCCGTGATACATTAGCGCGTTAAGATGATTTCCGGTGAAATGGAGACAAAATTCAATAAACGACGAATGCATTTGCCCTCTAAAACTCTACACTTCCGGGAATCCACGTCCAGAAAGCGTGATTTCGCGTCACATTGCACGATATTTTTGCTAATGAAAACTTGACTGCAAAATTAACGGAGAATTTAATTAAAATTACGTTCATATCGGGTGCTCTGGCATATCAGATTTACGTCAAGACATTATAATTGCATTTTCGTCGTAAATTGTTCCTTTTGTTGATGCAATAATTACTTTTTGCAAATCCAATAAAAGCAATAAAAGCACTTTAATTCAGATACAATAATACTTTACTTAATACAATAATTCAATACTTAATACTTTTTCAATAAGAGGAGTGTTCTGTAATAAATAAGTAAATAATGTGCCAGCTATTATAGAAGTCGGAAATGTATATCGATTGCGCGACACATCATCGTTTCTGGAATATAATGAAAAGTATATTAAGTCTTGTAAAGACATTGTGATGAGTATTACTATGTTTAATAATACAGACGGATCGATATGCTTACATGTGAGTACGTATAATGTACTTCCCTTGTAATTCTTCTAAAAGCATTATGTGTTTTTCCTTATATCCATTCACAGGGTCCAAGCTCACTCGGTTTCTATTCCGCGTTACATCGACACATGTTTTCAATTCGACCAAGGATGGAAAATACTTGTTATATAACATAACGTTTTAAGTACATACCAAAATTGGGTTGATATAAAATAGAAACTATAATTTACTAATTATAGCACACAGACACATAAATACATTAATAATTAATATATATGTTTTAATAATATAAATATTAATGATACAAATATACAGAAATATTTTTAAATGTGCGAAATAAAAAACATTAGTTCTAAAATGTTAAACTTGGATAGTAAATACATATATAATTAATTTGTACGGGGTGTCTGGTAATAGTAACATCACTCGTGAGTTAAATTAAATGGAAAAATCCTTTACCATTTTGCGATTCTTGCAACAATTAATGAGAAATTAATTAATAAAGATCTGCAGATGAGTGTTCATCTGCGCGATTCAGTGACGAGAGAAGAGACAGTCCATTAATTAATTAAACATTAATTAATTAAAAATGGATTATATTAATTATATTAGAGATGGTTAGAAATAATAATAAATAGTCTGCAGTATTCCATTATTTATTCTATTATAAAAATGTTGAAATATAACGACGATCTTTGCCGTCAGAGACGTTAAAAAGACGTCAAAAAGTTAAATACCTTCTTGAAATGATTTAATGAACCTTGTATGCTTGACATACACATGACCACGTTTTAAAATATTTAATTACCAACGTAGCATAAACAAAGAGAATGTTACAACAACATCCGAGTAACATTTTCATCCGAGTAAAAGTCTGGTGTAAAATATTCAACGTATCGGAACCACGGTCAATATCTATAAACAATATTTTCGAATCATATTCAATATACTTTACTTCTCTGTTGGAAAATTCGTCGCACAATTGCTGCTGTCAAAAATATTATCTGAAAATGTTGCAAACGCTATTGATTCGTTATGCAATATTTTGTTAGCGACAAAACACTATTGTGATTTCAAGATAAAAGTATTACATCTTTTGTTTTGAAAATTTAGATCATTTATTCGTTTGTTTAAAAAAAATGTCGGATTAGTTAATAACAAATTATTCAAAAAGTGCGAGTTAAATAATAATAGAAGCGTATAAAATAAAGAAAAAATTTTCTATAGTTTTGTAGCACATAATATCAATTTTCTAAAAAGATGAATTTAGAACGGTTTAGTAATAAACTCTTTGATTAAACGCAGATAATCAACACACATTGCAGCAAATCAGACAAATGCAAGTTGTCTCATAACTGTTATACAACTGTATTTATTTCGTTAGAACTTATTGAGAATAGGAGTGTCTATTAATAAGTTATCCGTGCACATTAAATCAAATTATTCCATCAAGGTAGTTTGTACCTTGTTTATTCAAGTTTTTTCGCTGTCTACATGATAAAGTTTGCCACGACAACGCCAATAAAACTTTTCTTCTCCGTGCACTCGGTGTCGTAACTCGATCGAGAATTGCATTTCAACTTGCAGGTAACACTCGCGCTCAAGAGAGATCCAGATTAAACTTGAACGGGAGCCGTCTGCTCTCGAAAAGCGCCACGGAGCTCCGGGACAGCGAGATCGCGAACAGCTCGCCGTCGAGGCGAGGCGATGGATCGGGCGAGTCCGGCATCGTCCATCATCATCGACATCATCGGCATCACGGGGCATCGGTGGCCCAACGCACTCACACTTTCTTCGCGACTCTAAAGAGTCGTTGGGCGCGCAGCAGGAGCAAGGAGCGGAAGAAGTCCAAGGATGCCGGTAGTGCACAGGACGCGAGCCAACTCAAGAATCCCAGTGCCGAGTCCGATTACGCCGCCGATTACTCCTCCGAGCACAGCAGAAGTTCCTCAGCCACACAGAGCCCGGCCAGGCACTGCCTCAATCGCCCAGGTGAGAGATGTTTTTCTGACCGACATTCCGCGCGGCCTCGTGCCGAATTTGCCTAATCTAGAAGAACAGATCTTAAATTGAAATATATAGCTATAATAAAAAAAATTTTAAACCTGAGAAAGAGGTGCAAGATTAAAAGGCAGTGTAATGCTTCTGCATGTGCGCCGATGACCTGGTTATAAAGTTTCCTCTATATCTGATAGCGTCTATATTTACATAATGCATATCTACAACACCCTTGCATGGTCTGATTTTCAAATGGAACGCAAGTTTTGATTTATCTTTATGCCTTATGTCTCTTCATGTTATCCAGTTAAATAAAATAAATGTAAAAGTTATAAAATAATAGTCTAAAAAATCGGCAAAAATGTCTAAAATATTATTAATAAAAAAACGTATTAATAAATCAATTTTTAGATATTTTAAAATTCTCTAAGTAATTATTAGTAGGAAAAACAATCTAGAAATTAAGAAATATATCAAATCTATTTTTAATATGTATAAAAATGTATGTGTATAAATTTTAATATGTACAAGAATGATATTATCACAAATAGATTGTGATAGAAAATTTTTTATTACGTTGTACGATCTCTATACAATTTATCGCGTAACATTTCCCTGACATGATAATTGCTATCTGCTATACAGCATTAAATGCATAGTGAATTGAAACACTGTCATATGAATGAAGCATTAAACAGCTCTGTTTGCATCGCTTGCAACAGTGCTTTTCAGCTAATATTTGATAAAACATTAATGCCTCCAATGCATCATCTCGAGTGCTTTATTTATTTAATATCCCGAGAGAAATCGAGTCTTTCTCATAAATGATCATATTTGAAGGAATAACAAACATTTATTTTCTTTTTTATATTAATTATTTAAACGTACTTAAATAATAATTATTTTTTATTACATTTCACTTTATCTAGTATCATTTAGTATTAATAAAATCGATGTTATCGAGAACTTCATTTAGCTTTTTCAAAATTTTCCTATAGGAATTTTATTCCCCAAAGCGTTCTGCGCGGAGAAATAAGAAATAGTGGTTCGATTATAATCAAGTTTTGTTTCAATTCAGCTATTCAAGTATCTCAAGCATTCTCAATGGTTCAAGAAATGAAATTCTGATTATAAATTTTAAAAAATGTGACTTTTGTGTGATTTCATCAATTCATTTATATTACAATACCAGGCAAATTCCCGATGTTCTTTTTCATTTCTCGTTTTTACAATATAAATTAAAATATGCCAGTACAAATACTATATCAACATTTACATTTAAACAAATAATTACTCTTCTAAAAAAGTATGACTTTTTTAATCCGTTTATCAAGTCTATAATGGTGCACGTTCTTATGCAATTGCCAGTTGTTTTGTTTCAAGTTGTTACTTTGTATTAGTAAAAGTTAAAACGCACTGATCTACGGTACAGATGACTATCTAAGGGTTAAAATATTTAACCTTTGGAACTATGTCTGGGTTACACGGATGCAATCTAGAATATCGAAGAATGAATATTTATCGCATTCATTTGAATAACTGATTGCTACGGAAGTTACTGCATTTTCAAGCGAATTAATTAAGTTTATTGACAAGTCACTCGGCTCAGAAATTGATCCTTCTTGCAGGACAGTTGTGTCGCGCGCGAATTAATATCCTGGCGGGACAGAGTATAAATTCACGTTGGAATACGAATGCGTACACTTTAAAAGATGAGCCAATCAATCACCACACATCTGAAATATGTTCTGCGTAAAATATATTAAAAAGACATATAACAATTTCGAATATTTGTAAATGTGCACGAATAATATTTGTTATTTTCCAACGAGCGATTAACTAAAGTACCCACGATCAACGATCAACGTAAATAGTTTTACATGCGTAATTTATAGTATATAAATTTTATACGTGCAAATAATTACTTATCCAAATTGTACATAGCGCTGATTATCAGTATGCAAATATTGCGCTCTTGGTAATGTAACGTGAATTTATTTGGAGAGCACGCGGAGGAGAATACCTATTGAGCGAGCGTTGGTACCTAACGCCAAAAGTCGACATGCGCGGCACGTTTAGACCTCATTACATCGATTGATCCGAAATGATCCAGCACGAATACTGACGTGCATCGCTATACTTAGACAAATTAACTCGGAAGACTTCTCTTGTGTATTTTTCTCTGTTCTATAATGCAAGCGCCAGCGCGCAGAATGGCTTTTAAATATCCTTAAAGTTGTAGGATCGTATCGGCGACAATTGGATAATTACATTCTCCTTATCTAATCGCATTTTTATTTTTGCGACGTTCTCGGAAAACTTTCAGTAATTTGATTCTTCATTTGATCGATTTCGCTGTGCATATAAAACCGTAAAATCAAATGTAAAATCTCATTTAAATTTGCACGTATTCGATGTACATCATTTTCCCTATACTTTAAAAATGCAATTGAGTTGTCTATAAAAGTAAAGAAAATTAATCAAATTAATTAAACGATGTAAGTTAAGTATGTAACTTACAAAAAACTCAGAAGTTGAAGTCATATATATTATTTAAACTAAAATCGGAATATTTTAGAAGACACTTGATAAGACACGACTTTTATTTATTTCCAATGATCACATTTGTGACGAAAATCACGGATATCGCTATCACACCGAGCCAAAAGGAATGATGATAAAGCAATGCATACTGAATGCGCAGAATCTCCATTGGCACGCAGTAGCAGAGAAAAGACTGTGATTGTGCAAGAGGATAACGCCGGAAAATGCAGCGAGGGATTCTCCAAAGGATCCGTGAGCTTTCAGAAGGAAGAGCATATAAGCGAGGAACCTCGACGTTCCTTCAGCCAAGAGGGCGATTTTCTTCAGGACGAGATGACACGAAAGAGAGAACAAGCGTTGAGGCAACATGCCTTCTTCCAACTTCGTTTACACATAAGAAGAGGCGCAAATCTCGTTGCGATGGACAGAGGCGGTAAGAAAAAAGAATCAAATTTCAACTATCTTTGATTAGAGATACAATATATGACTTATATTCGTTTTTAAAATAAAAAACCGTCAAAGAAGTTATCATAATAATAATTGCTTTGCAAGTTAAACACTATTGAATACATATGTACACATTATGAAAAATGCGGTTTAAAATTGCTGTAAATTCGTTTAAAGTTATGTGGATATATCGACATTTTTATGCCAATAAATAAAATATAGCTCGAGACATTCGTGCCCTATTTGTGAAAAGCTAAGAACCATCGTATTTATCGCATAACCGTAAATTTCACGATATATGGTTTATAGTTTGCGGTTTGCTTTATGATTTCAGGCGCGAGCGATCCTTATGTGAAAGTAAAATGCTCAGGGCGATTGCTGCACAAATCGCGAACCGTTCATCGCGATCTAAATCCAGTTTGGGACGAAAGCATCACCTTGCCTATAGAAGATCCTTTTCAGCCACTTACTATCAAGGTATTTAGCGCTTTTTTTCATATCAAAATTTCGAATATATATATAAAATGGCAGAAAAGTTACATAAGTTAACATTCAATAATTTCGATTTTTATCAGAGGCAGAAATTTCCATTAAGAACAATTTTTAAGTATCAAAAGTAAATAGAAAAATGCCTTTCCGGGATCTTTGTATCTTTAATATTTTTTCCATGAAAATTTTATCTATACACTTTTTTGCCGGCAAACTGCTCACCGATTTATCGGTCTTGAAACAGTCTCGTCGGAATTCTCGTCGGAGTAAATTCACATAATTAAATCGATAATCGATTTAACAGTCATGCTAATGAGCATCTTTTCAAATTACTGCAAAGAATTTATTGCGAAAAATATCACCCTAGGCAGGGTTTGAATAATTTTTAATTTAATGTAATCCGTAATAATTCAAACTGTTCAATAAAATACACAACTAGATGTTTGAAAAATAATGTGTATTTTATTTGAATAAAATAATTATTGTAGAATTTATCTGTATTCTAATTACTTAAAACGTTCTAATGATAATCAAACGGTTTTTTGTGTTGACAGGTTTTCGATTACGATTGGGGCCTGCAGGATGATTTTATGGGGGCTGCTTTGTTGGACCTCACGCAACTCGATCTTGGACATGCTCAAGATATAACATTAGAACTTAAAGATCCGGACAGACCAAAGCAACATTTAGGCGAAATTCACCTAACAGCTACACTTTGGCCGAGAAATCAACAAGAAAAAGAACAGGTACTTTATTCTCTTCAATCCGATAGAATACATTTAAGAATCTTTTTTATCTTTCACCTGGATTTATTTATCTGTGAGATGATTTGGCTAATCAGCCATGATATACATATACATATAATACCAATAAATATTAAACAATATAAAAAAATTGAAATGTTGAAGAAGTATCAACAAGAAGTATAGCTCCGTAAAGGATTAAGTAAGGGGCGATAAGCTAACAATAAGTCGATCGTTCTCATCTTGGTAGAGAGATGGATGTGCCCGTGCGTATATTTATAGCGTGTATATGAAGAATGGGAAACTGGGTTGTGAGGGAAGTACGCGCCCGCGTTCGTATTACGATATCGACTTGTCGTTGAAAGTGGAGTGCAAGGCCTGGCTTTTATCGCGCAGCAGCTCTACTTACGTATTAACTATTATATTAAACGCCATTCCGTGAGAAATAACTAAGTGGAATACTTCTCGGGTGTTATACATTAAATCCAATTTATTTACGAATTAATAGTAATTTACGTAATAAATTTAATCTTGTTGCAACAATTAACGTGCTTATTTCAAAAGCGTTGCACTAGGTCTTTTAAATTTTGCAATTACATAGGCTACAATGCTCTACCGTTTAATTTGTATTAATCTTAATGATAATTACTTTTAATAAATACTTGGAATATTTCTTTTAGAATTTGGTTGTTATACGTGCAATTTGCACAAAGTTTAAATTGGCCTCAAATAATTGCTCGCCTGATTTTAAAGATAGTAATTTAGCCTTCAGAAAGAGGTGCTTTCAAGTCTCTCTTTATTAAAATATAATTTTGTATCCGTTAATATTTTCGCTTGATAAATTGTAAAATAAAATTAAGCATAGGAAAATGAGATACAAGCAAAAGAATACATAATTTGTGAATTAATTATTGACAAATAATATCTCTCTATATTTTCATTAAGGAAATATCGATTGCGAGGCTAAGAACTGTCAGTTGAAATATGCTGTTATCGGACATTCTGTGTATCCATAAAGTTGGTTGATAAGCGTACGTAATATGCCATCTATACATTACGTGTGATATGTTCCCATATATCACATTGAACATATTAATAGCCTATCGTAATCCGATGCTATAATCCGATGCTATAATCCGAAGCAATCATTTTTTTTTAGATAAGATCTTTTAGCCAGTATTAACGATCTGGAACTTTAATCCTCTTCTAATATTAAAAAAATTTTGATCTTATCAAATCCAACCGCGCTTTATCTTTTCAGAAATAAGGTAATCTGATTCAATAATGAGTTAATTATAAATACATATTTAATACAAAATAAAAGAGTTTACAAAAGAATATATAAAAAAGTTCAATATTTTATTTTTATAATAGCACACACACACGCGTGTGTACTTCTTGAAGTCCTTTAAGTTTGACTTCGAGATTAGTTTCTTTAAATGAAATAGTTTTTAAATAAAGGAGAATATTTCTCCACATTCTAATTAGATAAATAATTTTTTCCTTCTTACATTAAACAAGTTTGCTATTGCACTGTATGATATCTCTTTTCCTCACTAAGAGAAATTTTTTGCTGTATTAGCAAATCATTTGTCACTATAGTGATAACAAACACTTACTTTGCTGCGAGAGCTAATTAATTTAGCAATAGTAGCAAACCTTTTGTTGCAATAGCAAAAAATTTGCTCTCGCAGCAAATCAAATTTTGTTATCACTTAAAGAGTGACCGCAAAAACAGGCCAAAAATAGCCTAATTCACCCTCGTCTTTTTTCACCCTTGAATTTAGACTTCTACTTGGTACTAAATGATAGTCTATAATGAGTCATGAATCCTCAGATTCAGATTGAGCCGGCTTTGAAAAAAAGAGGCGAGGGGACTCACTCTAATCACATTTATACTAATATATTAAATAATCACATAACAGCGAACGAATACGTTTTTTGAACCTATTATTATGTAAGTTTCCATTTCAACGTTTTAAAACAGCGAATACGCAACTAACTTTGACCCGGCCTCCATATCTTGAAAATAAAAAGCCGGCTCAATCTAAAACTTTCTGAGGATTCATGACTCATTATAGACTATCATTTAGCACCAAGTAGAAGTCTAAATTCAAGGGTGAAAAAAGAGGCTATTTTTGCGGTCACTCTTTCTCTTAGTGCTATCTCTACGAGTTGAGAAACGCTCGCGTTAGACCGCGTGTTCCGCGGTTACGGCATCATGTATACACAATGCCTCATGCAATGTTTGCCGACATAACATTGCTTTTCTCGTGTAAAGAATGGAGAGGGAGAAGAAGCCCAGCTGGCCGGCACGCTTCGCAGGTTGCCGATGAAGAACGGCTTGTTAGTAGTCAGACGACTTTTGCCGTCTTACTTTGCGAGCACGACAGGTGCTTCGCGCTTATCAGTGCGGTGCCGATTCGATACCGGCACGGAAATGTATTCCATTGTGCGCGTTGGTAACGAGTTCACTTTTGTTCCTGATAAGAGACTTCCGATGATTGGCCGTGTGCGCACGTAACCGAATTGTATTCCTCCGTCTGTATTTTCCGGCGTGACTCACTGGCGCTAATCGGCGATATCGTATACCGTGGTCGTCGAGAGGAAGTGCTTATATTCGCATTTCACAATTTTTTTAAACGAGATACAAGTGAATCAGTGTGTAAATCTATGCTCGCGGACACTTTTTCTCCCACACTTTTTCTTCTCTTGCGCGTGTCAGTCGCTGGCGTTGCCGCGTCGAGTGTAAGACATAAAAGCTTTAACGCGACAAAGTTCTTCAGATTATCAGTTTCGAGTGTTTGCTGTAAGACATTTCTTCTTTTACGAGAAATTGTTATAAAAAGTGTATATCACGTAATCGTATAAGAAGTGGCATGTAAAGTTGTGTGTAAATGTTAACATTTTAGATTTCGGAAAATATATTAATTTAGGGAAAAAAGTTTCTCGACGCTTATTGCATAAGAGATGCAGAATCATCGCGTTTAAACGTAACTTGTATATTTCCTGGATAATAAGTTCCGAGAAAATATATGCTTGAACGCTCTTATTAGGAATTGCGACATACTGAGTGACGATGTCGAATAAAAAACGAAAGACAGAAGTCATCTCCGAAGAAATCTTGTTTTGCCACTTTCGAAGTGAGTCCTTGAAAGATACAAGCCGATTGAACGAAAGATGAGAACGAGTTCACAGTTATTTCGCTGCTAAGGAGAACCATGGAATTCGTAATAAACTCGACGAAAATAACACGTTAAACAGACGCTTTCCACGAAGGAAAATATTCACAATTCCGTCATACTTGCTTCAAAACGTTCAAAGCAGTTTTCACTCGCAAGAGTAATCTTCGCGAAGAAGAGACCCGGAAACGTATTGAATTTGAAATCGATAGTACATTCAATCTGTGTCCGGTGTCAACACATTCGAAGGACGAAGTCGATGCCTCCACCTCGAAGAAGAGCGATCGACAAAACATGCAAAATTGATATAAAGAGAGAACCCCGATCGAAGCTGCAATCGTCGCATCCAAAATGGACACCGCGCCCGAAATAGACTTCTCGTCTGAACCAAATATCGCGGGTGAACTTAACACTGCAGTGCCCGAGATCGAAGTTACGTCGGAAAATGCCAAAGTTACGTCTGCGAACGACGTCGTGTCCGCGGAGATAGCGGCCACGTCGCCGTCGGAGAAGAATTCCGACGACGCGTCTAAAGTCGACACTGCATCTGAAATTCACGTAGTGTCTAATACGGATGTGGCATCTAATAAAATGGATGTGGTATCTACCGATATATCATCCGATATTGCGGATGTGGCATCTAATAAAGTAAATACGGTATTTACTGAAAAATTATCCGATATTGCCGTGCCTCTCAGAGGTTTGCCCCGGAAACCAGATCGACGAGAAAGACGTCATTCTATCGAGGTATTAGATCGATCTGTGTCAAAACATAAATTCGAGAGGAATTTTGCTGAGGCGGAAAGCGACGCTGCCGTGAGCAACGCCGGTGTTTCGGCGTCGCATGGCAATTTTTGCGGAAATATTCGGCGCGAGGAGGAGAATTCGCGAGAATCGAGTTCTGTCGCAAGCGAAAAATCCAAGATTCAGCAAACGTTTGAAATTGAAGAACTCCCGAAGGTGAAACGAATCGAAGAACTATTTGTTAAGACGAATTCCGAAATTACGGAGGAAGGATCGAGTGCTGTCGACGTCGAGAAATCGAAGCTCGAGGAAGCATCGGCGATGATAGGAGTTTGGAAGACGCGAGTGCCTGAAGGACTGTCCACCGAAAGTTTCTCTGGCATCAAGAAACGGAAAGCAAAGGGTTCATTAGGAAGTTGTCTAAAGCGGAAGGTGGATTTGATAGAGAGAATACTGGAAGATCAGGTGGAGCGAATTTGGGACGAGAACGTGGAGAAGCATACGTGGCTGCAACCGATCGAGACGTGGATCACCGATCACCGCAGGCCCTCGTCTAATTACACGTTAATGCACTCTCAATCCGTTGACGCGACCGACAACGCGACGGATGTCAATCAGGATGCCATGCCGGAACCTACGTACGATTTCAAGTTCACACCGGCGACGGGAGAGGACGAGGAACCGAAGATCGAGAGCAGATTGACGGAAGGTCGACGAGCCGCGAGAGCCGACGAGCCGAGGATCGAGAACAAGATAACTGAACATTTGCGAAAATTGCGAAAACGTGCTGTTTCTCCAAAATCGGATCGATTTGAACCAGCAAGTTTGAACACGCAGCTAAACAAGCAAGAATTTGTTTCCCCATACGTGGAAAATGGAGAGAAAAATTCAAATGTTTTAAGTGACGTCTTGGAAGTGAAGGAAGTCAAACGCCATGATCTTCTGGACAAGCTGAAAGGCAATGTTAAAGAGAAGATGGAGGACATTCATAGGGTAGAGTCATAAAGAAGAATTTTTCAATCTTTAAATCCGCGTTCATATCTGTATTATCAAATAAATTTTTTACGGCAATGTACGTAATAGACATTAAACACAAGAATATTAATAAAATTTCAAAAAAGCGATTTTGTAGAAAATTATTTTGTGCAAATTGTTTCTTGAACAGTAAAACTTTATCAATAAAAGAAGGAATCGAACAATCATAGTGGATTCTGTACGTAGTCGCTTTTGTTTTCAATTTGCAATTATACGGTGTTGTAATAAAAATCCTGCATTAGTCTCCCTAGTGATACTTTTATTTAGCGTTCCATTTTTCCACATTGCAGTATTTTCAGAGAACTAATCGATTGGCGGACGTGAATAGACGATTGAAATCACAAATATGGAGTTCGGTGGTGACGATTGTGCTCGTCGAGGCAAAGAATTTGTTGCCGATGGACATAGACGGTTTGTCGGATCCTTACGTGAAATTTCGGTACATAAAATTTAATATTATAAAATGGAATGCATAACTTGATCATTCTGATTACTTTTTATTGTTAGCGAATGCAATTTTTTTAATAGATATTGCTTTGAAATTTGCTTTAATAGAGAAATCTAGATTGTTTTCTTTTTATAGATTGTTTTTCTATTAATTGCTTATTATAAAATTTTTAAACATTTTTAAATTAAAGTAATTAGTTTAATCAAGTTATGATATTTCATTCCTGTTTGTTATTCCTGTTTGATAAAATTTATTTTTAACCGCACACACAATTATTAAATTTACATTAATAATCTTCTCAAAAGCGCATTTTAATATAAATGTTTTGATGAAATAAATGTTTTTGAAATTTATTCTTGAATTTCTTTTATTGATTTATTACTTTATCGTATTTAACATGTTTATAAATATTTATAATATAAATATAAACGTAAATATAAATTGATATTAATATTATAATATTTTAATATTGCAATATCAAACTTGTTTTTTTAATCGTAGAATGAAAATTATTCTGTTTTTCACAGTAAAATCAAATAAAATGTAATCTTGGAGATATTTAGCAATTCAAGCTACAGTCGTTTACACACTGCGAAACTTTTGCTATAAAAACTAGAGTCTCGTACTTATACTAATTTGCAGACTGGGCACGGAGAAATACAAATCGAAAGTCGTTAACAAAACATTGAATCCAATTTGGTTGGAGCAGTTTGACCTCCATCTCTATGAGGACCCGTATCTGGGACAAGAGTTGGAAGTGACGGTTTGGGATAGAGATAGGAGTCATCAGGACGATTTAATGGGCAAGACGGTAATCGATCTGGCGACTCTTGAGCGAGAGACCACGCATCGGCTATGTCGCGAACTCGAGGATGGTTCGGGCACTATCTTTTTACTTTTGACGATAAGCGGCACCACAGCCAGCGAGACAATCAGCGATTTGGCCGCGCACGAAGAAACGCCGATAGAACACACACAATTGGTTCAACGATATTCCGTTATGAACACTTTGCAGAGGATACGCGACGTAGGTCACTTGACGGTGAAGGTAATTAGAAACGATTAGTATTAATTGTTAACATGCTAGCATGTTAATATGCCGACATTGAAGTGTTAACTTTTTTAGAATGTCGAGAAGGCATGAAGTAAGAATAGTAATAATTAATGTACAGGAGTTACAGGACATGTACGACTTATATTTCCCGAAATAGGTCGCAACTTTTTTGAGTATTTTGCTCACGTCGAGAATGAAGAAAAGTTCTAACATATTTATAAGTCTGAAAATTCATTTTTATCGAATTACAAACTCCTTTGTACGTAGTAGAATTTTATCCGACAAGTAAAATACGCTGTCAAAGTTTGGCGAGCTCGTGAATTACGCTGCATAATAATAATGATAGTAATATAGATTCATTTACATTACATTACGAAATAATAATTTTCGTCATGTAAATTGTATATAATATATTAACATGTAATTGATATATGACAACTAAAGAGTAAGATAAAAAGCTTTTTTGTTTTTACATTAGATATTAATTATCTAAAAAAGCCTTTTCGAAAAAGGATTAATTTCTTTTTTAATCAGTTTCAGCGTCATAACAGAGAAACAGATATACAATTTGAGCTGTGTTGAAACTGTGTTACTGAAAATTATTATTCACACAATTAAATTTATATTTCACATCTATTTGCTTTGTAAATTGCTAGCACATATGAAATTCGTGCTTTCGTTATTAAAAATATATTGAGACACTGGTGAGATAATTTTTATTAATAAAAATTACTTCCAAATTAAATACTTAATTACTTCCAAATTAAATACTTCTGGTAAAATAATTTTTCTATAAATTTATCCGTATCTCTTTTCAATTACAAGAATTTAATAAACAGACGTGACCATATTCTTCTTATAAGGCTTTTACATAATTTCGATAAATTAAGGGGAGGTTACACCTCAGAGGCCCAAAAAATGCCTCAATTTCAGGAATTTTTTTTTTATATAAAATAAATACATAGGAAAAAACTTTTCGGGGCTTTAATTCGTACATAAATAGAGATTAATTAAAAAATTTTTCAGAAGAAAATAATTAAAAATGGCGGCTCTAGCTCTCAGTCCACGAAGCCACACACGGCGTGGTTCTATGTGCGCGGGGCATTCCACAGCCTTGCCAGTTGATCTGAAACCAAAAAACCAAAAAAATTCTTAAAATAGATTAAATTTGGGGGGCCTTATGATTTTCCGATTTTTAAAAAACCCCCTTATAACAAAATGGTGGCCGTTTGAAAAAAAAACCTCTTTTTTCCCTGTTTTTCTTTTGCTTCAACGTTCGAAAAAAATTATTTGCAATCAATTTTTTGAAAAAAAACGCTTCCTGAAGGCCCCCTAAATTAAATTTCCTTTCTTTTGCGCCGTCATTCATTGAAATCGGTTCATCCGTTAAAGCTGTAGAGCGCCCCGCGCGCCGAAAAATGCTGTTTCGAGAAAAACGCGTTTAAAGTTTTACGTAGTAAAAAATCGTATTTAATGTTTGTTTTTGACAACTTACATCTAATCAGCCATTCCAGCACCATTCCTTGCCACCTATTGTAGATTCACCCATCAGATATAGAAAAAAAGTCTCCTCGCAAGACCGCTCCGAGGGCGCCGTCTATACCTGTTTTCCAGCCGACGGACCGTTCCGCCCGACAAGCTGTAACTCTTAAAATACTTTCGATATGAAAATATCCTTTTGCCCACGTATTCTTAACAACTTAAGGATGAAAATTAAGCAAAAAAAAAAATTCGATTTTTTCATCGTTATGAAGTGTAACCTCCCCTTAAAATATAATATAAACCAATTTTTTAATAAATTTTATATTATAGATGTCTGTTTTTAGATTAGTTCGTGTTTTTACAGGTATACCGTGCACAGGGTCTTGCAGCTGCTGATCTCGGTGGCAAAAGCGATCCTTTTTGCGTTCTGGAACTCGTGAATTCCAGATTACAAACGCAAACGGAATATAAGACTCTCACGCCGAATTGGCAGAAAATTTTCACTTTGTAAGTTACATTTTAAACGGAATGTTAAGCTATTATTAAATTATTGTTAAACTATTTTTAATACAGCTATCGGATACGTATTAATAGATAGGAAAAGTCGGATGATTAGACGATTAACGAGAGTATGGTTAGACAGCTCGCGCTGTTCAAGCGTAATCGAGAGTAAATAAATTTCGTTGTTTCAACAGCAATGTAAAGGATATCAATTCCGTCCTGGAAGTGACGGTGTACGACGAGGATCGAGATCACAAGGTGGAGTTCCTTGGGAAGATAGCGATACCGTTGCTAAAAATTCGTAACGGCGAGAAACGATGGTACGCGTTGAAGGACAAGAAACTGAGGGGCCGCGCGAAAGGCAATTGCCCCCAGATTCTTTTGGAAATGACCGTCATATGGAATATATTCAGAGCGTGCGTACGAACGCTTAATCCAAAAGAAAAGAAGTACATGGAGCCGGAAATGAAATTCAAAAGACAAGTCTTTCTGCGAAATGTTCTCAGACTCAAAGCTATCATCGTAATATTCATCGACATAGGAAAATACATACAGTGAGTGTGACTTTAACTTTTATTCGAATTAAAGGTATAAATAAATTGTTATCTTTCCAATCTCTTGTGCGATATGTACAACCTCGAACAATTATGGAACATATCTAAAGTTTCATAAGTAGCAAAAATTACCTATTTCGTCTTCAGAAATATTTTTCTGTTCTAAATCGAAAGCTCAGAATTAAAATTAATGAAATTAATTAGATTTTTGATTAATTTCTTTTATTTGTCAGATTTCTTTTTTTACTCTAGCTAGATAGTATAGCACACAAGTATCCTACCGGAAAAATATAATCTAAAAATTTTTGTATCTCATGCTTTCCAGCAAGAAGAATTTTGGTTTAAGCAAAAATAGATTCTACAGTTTATATCGTTGCTACTCGATCTGTTTATGATACTATTTTTCACTTTATCCTACGGTTAGGAGCTGCTGGGAATGGGAAAACAAGATGAGAAGCGTCTTCGCTCTGGTCATTTTTATTCTTGGATGTTACTACTTCGAGCCATATATGATACCGGGTGTGGCGTTATTGATTCTCCTGAAGTATTATCTGGTACGTCGCTTTTGTTATTGGTTTTACTGAAGTTTTAATCCGGTACTCTTTCGCATGTCTATATTTTAAAATGATATGGTTATCGGAATTATATGTGAAAAATTAAACATTAGTATTGATCATTGGCCTTTAAAGCCGTGATATCGAGCGCGCTTTTGCTATGTATGCGATGCATTTTTCAAGCTGCGAAATTTGAAGAGCTCTCTCAGTGTCTTCGATTTCTCGTGCAAGGGATTAAAACTTGATTTACTGCTAGCACGATGGTTTTGGATCGTTCCAATTATTAATTGCTATGCTATTTGAAATGCTTACTATTCTTTAATTATAAAAGTCTATTTTTTATTCTTTAGTCTTTATTCTTCGCTCCCCATTGTCTTCTGTTGACCTAAATATGTATGACGATAAGAGGGTTGGTTCACCTGATAAATAAGGCATATACATTTCTCATATTTTTAGATTCTCATATTTTAAAACCTCACGTATGTAAAATGTCCCATATTTGCGATGTAATTTTGTAAAAAAATGTCTTCTCATTCACAAACTTCTTATAACAAAATCATTAATCATTGAGATCAATTGAATTGTGCATGTCCGCGATGCTTAATCTTGCTGTGTTTTGTATCTAGCGCATTCACAAGTTTGAATATAAACATTTCTATATATTTTAATAACTTTTAAAAAAATATATATTTCTTTCCGCATATTATACAAAAATCTATTTCAAACTAAAAGATTATAAGAAGAAGAGAAATAAATTTGTAGAATTTAAAAATATTAAAAGCAAAATTTGCAGAGTTATCTTAAATAAAAATGGCTTAAATGGATCCATATGAAGCGGTAGAATTAATAATCAACTATTCTAAACCATACTTTGATATCTCGTAAATGAAACAAAATATGACATCTTGGTGTATATTTATAATCTTTAGATTTTTTGTGTACTTCGTATAATTCTGACATGACCCATCCTGCATAAGCGCAAGTTACCTCCGCTTCGTTTCTTTACTGGCAATGCTGCATGTCGAATTTCTTTGCTACCTGTCAGCTTAGCGGCGAGAGGAGCGGGTTCAATCATTGGATTTGCGGGCAGGTCGCTGTGGTGACGGGCGCACCTTTGATTTACGCAACTTCGCAGTTTCAAGATCACGCCGAGATCGGGTCCGACGATCCACCGACCCCGGGGGACGACGACGATGACGAGGACGACAAGGATAAAGTGAGAGCCATTACATCTCCAAAAAAATACAGAGTGCTTAATTTAATTGCGAATTTAATCACGAACTACGCGATTCTTCATGAAAAAAGTCAAATGAATTAAATATATCATATATCAATGTAAAGCTTTTTGCATTGATTCGTTAATATGGCTAAAGAGATGGTCCAAGTAACATCCTTGCTGGATTTATAAAAGATCTAATGATAAATATATGGCAAATTCTCATTTGCGTACCGTATATCGTATCCATTCAATAAATTTAGCGCTATAACCTTCGACCTATGCAAATTAATTAACGTAGATTAGCTTCCTTTGTGTTAGAAATAAGCCGAAGTGTTAAGAATTAAGCGCTGTTGAGTACTATACTCTATGGATCTCGTTACGCTCTATGAATCACAATAGCGCCCGGATAAAGATATGATCTTTACAAGCAACAGCGTAGTTCCGACATATAAATTTAATGATATACTTACATCGCATTTAGATAAGCAACAAGAATATTTAGATATCATAAAACTCGTATGAAACTTACTCAATTAATGCAGAAGACTAATTAATTAGTTTTACACAGACATTGTTAAGCATTCAAAAGATGTACTAATTTTTCCCGGGTCGACCTTTTATCGTATTGAAGATTTTTTTAAACTTTTATTCACGTTTCTCTGCTCTGAACTTTGTATTGATTTTTGGTATATTTAGTTCTACTTTTGTAATCATCTTTTTCTGAGTCTTCTGAGTCTCTTTTCTTATGCTAACTTTTAACTGGAAGTCAATAAACTAAGAAAGATCTAAATAATATTTTATGGTATTTAAATTGGTATTTCTTTATGTTTAAGCAACGTTTGATGCAACATGTATTATCGATTAAAATGTAACCATTTTTCAGGAGGAAAAGAAAAGTTTGAAGGAACGTTTACAGGCGATTCAAGAGGTGACGCAAACAGTCCAGAACTCGATTGGTTACATAGCTAGTCTTTGCGAGAGGGTGAAGAATCTCTTCAACTTCACGATCCCCTATTTAAGCTATCTGGCGATGCTTCTGGCGATCGCCGCGGCGGTCGTGCTCTATTTTATTCCTGTTCGGTATTTAATCCTCGGCTGGGGAGTCAATAAGTTCTCTAGGAAAATCCTCAGGCCTCACTCCGTGCCCAACAACGAGCTCCTCGATCTTATATCCAGAGTGCCTGACAACGAAGAATTACTTAATTATAGGTGAGTGATTAATGAGAACGCATGTATCGTATTAGCGCGCGTATCATTATTCGTTGAGATTAATCGAATCTTTTCGCTTATAGATGTAAAACGTCTATGAACATCTTTCGGGAAACTCAAGTGTAATATGGCTTGACATTTTTGGTTTTACGATTATTAAATATATCATAATTCAAACTGAACCGTATGATTTTATATTTTAATATCTCTGCGTTTGAGAAGGGAGTTGAGAAAGGAGTAAGTCGAAGATCACATTAGCTTCCGCGTATATTCTACTGTAACTAGAAGAAAGTTTTATAAAAATCACAGAATGTAAAATAAATCAAAAAAGTTCCTGAATACAATTTAAAAAAAATAATGTAATAGTAAGTTTAGTTCAAAGAATCGTAAAAAGAATTGTTGTATTTTTATATGAACAAGCTGTGCCTTAAAAATATAAATTATAAGTGTAATAGATATCAGATATGTGCAATATATTTATATATAAACTTTATATTGACTCTGCTTAAAAATAAATTTTATCTTGAATATTATTCGAGATTCCGAAAGTTTACAGATTCTGAAAAAACAAGTTTTCATATTATACTTCTTAAGGAAGAAAAAGAATGTACACGTATATATTTGGAATATTTTATATATAATAATATATGTGCGAATTTTTCTCTTATAATATGTTTTTTAAAAGCGGCAGTCTCCGCTTATAAATTGCGACATCATCGTCACGTAGCCAACATCTTTGCATCGTTTTTGACGCTTTCAAGTTTGCGAAAGAGCGCGAAGGGATTATTCAACGCGTGTACTTTTACAGAGAACTGAAACCCATGCCAACGGCGGATTGCGAGAGAGGCAGTCCCAGTTCGAACGCGGTGAGAAGAGAGCAAAGAAAGAGGCACAAGGCGGCGTAGCAGAATTACCCGCGGCCGGATGTCGCGGGTCCAAGGTCGTCCAGTATCCTTAAATCGGTCCTGCTGCGCCGGAAGTTGCGACAGCGAAAGGGATCAGCGGAAAATACGGATGCGAATGACATAGACTGAATATTCGTTCATTTTGTACCCTCCCTCGATCGTGAGAGCCTCGAATCTAACGTCAGTCGTTAGCGAAGGTATCGCACGTGGTGTGCCTCGAAGGAGAGAAAGAGAGAGAAAGAAAACAGTGAAAATGTAGAAATTATAAATAATGAAAAATACTAACGCCGAAAGAGAGAATACCAAATTAAATTTAGTTTGGATGTATGTACGTTTATTACGTGATAATGAGAGGCCATTATCGCGTAGGATAAAGTCTTATGCACTGCGGTATAAACAAATGATTAATGATCATGTGATACGTTTTAAAGTGTATCACGTTAAAAGAGAATATAAAAAAAAGCACAATTACGATGTTGGAGTATATATCATGAGATATTATACGGAATATAAAATGCGTTATAGAATTATGAATATGTAACGTCTAATACATTAAAAATGTATATAACGTATATTGTATATTAAAATGACAAATTGCCATTGTCATTGCAATTAATTATATATAACGAATTGTACATATAATCACGTCGTTTCTTTTCCGCAGTAGCTTGGAGATTTTATTCTTCTTGGAGATATTAATTTTTTAATTTTTTTAAAATGCAAACGCATGATAGTAAACGCTTCCAATGTGGATTGTCTGAATCTCTGTATTACTGACGATATATGACAAATGTAAAAGCATGATCAGTAAAGAAGTTTACAGAATATTTCGATTTCTTCCGCATTATCTTTTTCATATTACGATAATTTCTGTCAAAATGCAAATAATTATGTGCAGTGTCCCTACAGCCGAGTCTCTAAAAATACAAAAATTTTAAATGTATAAAATTTAGAAACATTTAAAGATTCAAAGAAGTGTAAAAGTAAGAATGTATAGGCGTTTGAAAGATTTATTAATTGAAATGAACAATTCGAGGATTGTAAACAGCCAACAAAAAACCAGTTTTTTTCAAATTTAACGACAAATTAAATAAAGAGTAACTTCATTTCTGATCATACGACTCAGATAAGAAGAATGCGATAACTTCTTTAAGGTGATCTCTAAAATGACAGAAAGAGAGAGAGAGAGAGAGAGAGAGAGAGAGAGAGAGAGAGAGAGATAAACAGATAGAGATAAAAGGGGACACATGCAAATTTGAAAGTATTCCATGTTAAAAGTGAGAGAGAGCCGCGTTTCGAGCATATCAAGGAGGGCAAGGAACGCGTGTTCTTTAGAAATAATAAATTGATAAATTAATGAAAATAGATATTTAAACAAAATGCGATGACATTTTCCTTAGGGGAACGTTCGTCAATCGTTTCGTCCATCGGTGTCATTAGTTAGCAATTAGAAATTATTGTGAGGGATAGAGAGATGTAAGAGCTAGTAAAAATATTTTCCAGGATACAATCATCCTAGAGTTCCCGCGGAAATTACACGTAAATGAACCTCGCGAAAGAATTATTACATTTGATTTCAAATTAAGCCGGACATTCCGTCGCTCTTTTCTCATAGACAGTTTCAGAAGGTAGCTTCTTTAAATTATTTGCGGGGACTCCATGAAATGTTCACTAAAACTATGGAAATCAAGGAATTGTCTTGTGTGCATTTGTAAGTAATAATTTTATAGAGATGCAGAAGGGCTTTCTTTAGAATTGATAAGAAATACACGGCGAAGCTTCCGCGTTAACTCAATATATTCGCGCATGCGGTTTTGCAAAATCGTATTAGGCGTGCTTACATACGTTGCGTGCGATGGTTCCCTTCTAAAGCGTCTGACGTTATTTTAAGTTTTCATTCCAACGCACAGTTTTACCTGTGATTAGACGAGATAGAGAAAGAGAAAGAGACGGAGAGCGAGAGATTACTTTATAAATTCTGTGTGGGGAAAATCGTTGTTGCGAGAAAAGCCGGTCGCCTTTTCAATTGGAAATTATTCAGATCGCGGGCGCGTGTATTTCTACGACGACATTTCGCACTTGCAAAGATATGAGGTTGGATAACGTTAAAAGACATGCAAATCTGGTGTGCGACAATTTTCTTATCGCGCGGAGAAACAAGTTCGATGTACTGCTGCTGTTACGAATAGACTTTAACATGCCTTTTCAACGCGGTTATGCAAGCGTCGTTGCTGTGACGTTTTCTGTTCAGTGCGCATTTATTTCGTTCTTATGTTAAAACATTATGTCGTTCAGTTGTGCAATCTACAAAATCAACAAAACCATAGTAGGTATATGAAATAACTGAAGATACCTGTCGCATTATAATACGTCGTAAAATACCAGCAATTTTTATTATATTATTTAAAATACTAGCAGCATAATTAAATTTAGCAATTAAAGAGCTTATTTGCAAACTATCTTGAATTTATATTTTCTTTTATTATTATTATATTTTTTAAAAGTAAAAATATGTCACAGCCTATATTACAAGTGTGTTAAAAGCATTCCATAGTATTCACAGATGTAAATTTAAGGCAGTTTAAAAACCTAAATTTTCTCCGTTTACAAACCGATCAATCAAACACTTATTACTTGTGCTAGTATTTCTATACGTTAATATATCTTATACGTGTTACTTTGCAGACAGTTACTTATTTAGAAAACAATATTATATTATAATCGCTATTCCGGAAAGCCAGAGTATTTATTTTCATTACTTATCTAGACAAGATAATTATCCGAATAACTGCAAATTCAAAAATCATTTTCATTTAAACTTATAATATATTTTATCGATGGACGTATAATTATAATGCGACTATGATTCATCTTATTTCATTATAAGATTTATAAAAATGTTTAAGAACAATATATAAAAACTTGCATATCTATAAAAATATATAAATGCATTAAAATATACACATAAATAAAAATATCACAATTTATAGTCTCGGAAATTATGAATATCTCGCAACAATGCAAACATGCAGAATACAGACTATCTTGAATGTTCTCTTCGTTATGAATGTCTCGATCAATTTGGAATAAATTTTTTCTTGGTAAAACTAGCAAATTATAATTTCCGAATAATTAACAGTTAAAAATGAATATTCTGTAAACTAAATTTCAAAGAAAATATTTGACAAGATTAACTTTAATCAATTTCAATAGATTTTATTAAAATCTTTATATAAAATTTAATTGCAAAAATATGCAATATGCAATATTATTAAAAATTGAAAAGATATGACAAATAAAGATCTTCCTGGAGATTTTTATTAAGAAAAAATTGATTCTGTACATCGATGAAGAAAGTTATGGTTGAAAGGACATTCGTGATTCTGAAATACATCGTATAACGTGTAGTTTTATGCGACTGTCGTGGGTAGGATAACGTGTTAATTAATTACTAGGTATATGGGGCGAATTTCTCCGCAACGAAATGTCGTCTCGGCGACCGCTGTCTCGTTGTGCAAATGTACTCGCTTTCGCGAGAAGGCGAGAATGGTGCGTATAAATATTTATTTTTAGTCGCAATTTTACCGATTCGTGGCCGGTTCGCGAGAGAAAGAGAGAGAAAGTGTGAAAGAACATGAGAAAATGTGTGAGAGGGGGTAGTATATCGCTGATCCATTTTTCGCTTTTCTATAATTATACATATACTATAGTCATTGTGCATACGTCTTTTTCCAGCCTTTTATCTTCGATTTACCTACTCATTCTCTCATGCTATATGTAAGCGCCTCGATACTCCTACCGGCACGACATTTGAGACTCTCGTTATGGAGCACAATACGGGGCGCATTTATCCACACACATGTACACGTATATACACGTTAATTACATAACATACAGGGTATGCCGCAACCGTTAGTTGTTTTTCTCACATTGCTCTTACAAATTCTTCGGCCACTTTGAAATCGATTTTTCCTGTCGATGAAAATATCGAGTCTATACAGGTTCTTGAGTAATTAATTATTGAAAGAAGAAGCTCTGACGGATCAGACTTTAAAGAAATAATATATTCTTCGCTCAGTTTCTCAAGAGACTTTATAAA